CCGCCGGTTGGAACACGTGCTGATGAGTCCATCAGACGATATCACTTCTATCACCCTCAAAGCTGTCGCTATTCCTGGATGGCAAGTTAAGATTAAAGACTTCTGTGTTGCCTGTACAAACTGTGGAAGAAAGACGACTGAAATTGGAAACTGACATTGACACAATTGACAAAAGTGCAAAGCGGCTTTTCGGAGTTATTTGAGTTGGATAACCCAGTAATGGTGACAGCTGACATAGCTGGGAAATACGGTAACAAGATCTAAGAAATATTAAATGAAGCACTAGGAAGAAACTTCCATCACTCATAATGTCTTCTGGAAAAGCATGGGAATTACAAAACAAGTACATAGCCGGGCAGAAACATTAGGTACCACTGTTTGTATCTTCCTCTGCAGAAAACATGACACCCTTACTTTGCTAGATGGTGCCCATTTTTTGGATGGATAGTTATAATGACGTGAGCGGAGATGATTCGCCCAGCGATTATGCCAAACAGTGACTCGTTACTCAATCGGCAGGCATATGATCCTCAGGAAAGAACAGAACAAGCGCTTGAAAAGTATGCAAATGAACTTCGAGTGAATGAACTTTGCTCCAGGTTTGAAATGTCTCCAGCTGATGTTCAGAAATTGCAAAAAAATCGTCAACCATGGTGACATTGTGTTTTGATGCTAACTCCATGAGTCGACATAATAAGTGGCATTCAAACTGGCTGGCTAGCCGAAATTATAGGCTGTGGAGCATAGATGCGGATTAAGGTGTATGCGAATAAGGTAGTCCTCCATTTTAATGTTGGAAAAAATGACATGATCCAGAACTGCAGCATCATAACAGTGGTCACAATTGTGTGATCTGGCTCCATGCTGTTCTGATTTCATCGGCTTGTGAGTAGGCTTATGATTAAAGCTGAGTATTTTGGGGGCGGAAGTCACAAAACAGATTTTTAGCATAGCCATATGGCAGACGTTTAAAGCACTGACCTACGGGCAGACGACGACCAGAGCACCGACACCTGGCGTATATGCGTCTTGAAATTTATCAAGGGAAGGCAGTAACCTCCTCTACATATGCGGTGGAAACCTGTGCCCGTAAGAAATAGAATCATTCCTTACGTGGTCCTGATATTTATTTAACTCTCACTATGTTATAAAATCACCGCTGCTGTACTCAGTTCAACCGCCGTACTTGCCCCTTCTTTTAATCGACTCTCTCCCTCCTGACAGAGGCGAGGAACATCGGATTTTTACTGAAAGAGTTATTCCTTTCACGACCAAAATACTAGACAGATTTCTATAAGCTTTGGAGGCAATATCGATTGACAAATTTAACTCCGTAACGAACTCCTATTGAAATCAAGCACGAAAGATCGGCATCGTCAACTGGACAGTGTGCAGTACTGAAAGATGAGAACGTCTTGAGGTCTCCCCTTGAGCAAGGAACGGTTTGAGATTCAACACATATTTCATGAATCATGGAGGGCTGCACCATCTGAGGTCCGATATCCACCGGGCACTAAACTGAACATGCGAGACTCATGCTGTCCAACAGACATGCTGAATATTCCCATTGTTTTTATATCGTGTCTGTTGGTGAAAAACGATTTGTCATTCACGACTAGCTGCGGGTCTTGAATTCTAATTATCGAAAAACCTCGCATTCTCGTTTCTGTGCGTGAATTGACATCTCAGCGAGGCTCAACCAATCAAGCAACGGATCATTAACTAGCAAAAAATATTTTCAAGCTTAAAGATGGAATTTTTTTGACTCTGAGTGGAGCAAAGTAACCTGTTGCTGGTTTTTATCTTCTGGCAAAATATTTTATATATTGGCACGAATGGCAGGCTGGTAATACGCGGACCGTAGAAGTTTGACAAATTAAATTGTTTCACCGATGGTGTTTCACTGCAAAGTGACCATTGTCTCACGTGACCTTTGTCATGGACAGATGAGAGCTCGGCGTATCGGCAGCGGTCACCGCACTGCACGGGGATAATTGACCAATTTATACACACAATCGAACGGTAAACCTCGTGGACGGTCGCACGCTAAGAGCTGGCTGTTCACGACCGCTTCAGCGAATGGGTTTCACCTGTGCCTGTGAGAAAAACAAAGAAAGCTGACACAAAGGGACGTGAGTGAGAAGGATGTAGGAAAACATCTTGTAAAGTAGCTCTTAAGCGAGGTTAATTACACCAGTGAGAGCGATGAGGGAAGAAACGAGGGTAGTTGGTCAACCTCGTTGGCGGTAACGGGGGCAAAGCTTTTCTAAGAGTGGTAATTGCACCGGTTTGACCGTGCTTCACGCATAGTTCACTTCGCTGCGTAGTTTACTTGAAAGGTATCATACTTACTGGCAACAAGAAGTATCATCCTATGATCAGAAACTCGACGACCATATGGCAATGCCATGTCGTCCTTCAAAGCCTCGTGTAATTCGGATGGAGCCGATAATATTCTTTTTTTTTCGAATCTACATCAAAGCATGTTGGTATGTAGGAGTATGACAGAAAATACGTATCTTCCAAAATATTTTCTAAGGCTCATACCAATACCGTGCCTAGATGACTTGATAACTTCTAAAAAAATGCCAGATCTCACGTTCATCTCACATCCTTTGCCATTAATTACCTAGGATGGGGTGAGGGCATTTATGGGGACAACTGCTCGATAATGCAGTGCCAGAGGCATCTCGCATCATACTGTTCACCAGAGCCACCTCGCGCTTATTATGAGGGATGTTTCAGCAATTTGCGCTCTTCATATGCTGCTGCATATACGTCAAAGTGTGTTCGTGCGCCAATTTCATTTTTTTCGACATAATGAGAAGAAAATTCTACTCTGTATATGAAGTGTACTACATTATGAAAATTTTCACCAAGTCATAGTTAGAAATTGGTTCAGATCACATGTCATTAGTGGATTATTGATGGCTTCATATTTCGTGCTAACTATCATACTGAATAATCAGGAATGAGCTACGCGATGACGAAGGTTACGGTGCTCAAGACAGTAGGTCACATTTCTTGTACATTCTCGCATGACCACACCTGAACATCAATTCAACGACTTTTACCTGCATCTTGATTGATTGTGCCGAAGCAATGTGGAGCGGATTCGTTGCTTAAAAGAAACATTTTCTCTCCTGATTCGATATCAGCATCTCGGGAGTTCGAAGCCGACCTGTTGCAACTGCCACCGAGGTCCAAGGCGTCGTCAACTATGCTCTGTTCCGAGGCATGCAGAGCTTAAGCATATGACCATACGTGTGCTGTAAGCGAATTGATAACATTTAAGGCCGTTTAAGCTGCTTCAGCAACAAAAATTATACTAACTGACTGCACATCTACCTAAATGGAGCCTTTATTCGAGCGGGTTATGAAAAATAATGCTTAACTATGGCCAAATTATAGCGAATCCTTTTTTCAAAATTGTTGTCCATAATAACCCATCTGTTTATTTTAAACTATTATGCTTGATTATGTTTGATTTACCGAGCTTATGTATTTCAAGGACGACTGAGCTTGAGTCGAAATCAACAGAGAATGATACGTGGGGAGAGGGGGGGGTCATTGTTTACGACAGGCATGAAAACCAGGAGTCGCTTCGTAAACAATGAGACAATATTTAAATGTTATTAATATGTGAGATTCGTTATTAAAGAATATGCGATATTCGCCATGCGATACGAAGATGACCGATTGAAATGATTTCCATAAATAGCCGGAGAGATACGTCTAGTGATAACCATTGATTACCTTAATGACAAAACTTTGACTACTGATAAATGTACTACTTCTGCTGGACATGAATCAATGCTATTGACTAAGAAAGGCTACACTGTCGAAATTTGAATATGTTGTAACTTTAAGAACTCTTGGATCTTATGTATGGGCAATAAACTAATGAGTAAATGAATGCATAAATTAAAAACGTGAGTAAGCGAATATATGATGAACGAAAAAACGAATGAATGAAGGAATGGATGGACAACTAAGAGCCATATCATGTTTGAACATATAATTCAAAGTCATAAAAAGGAAATTTAACTGTGCATGTAAAGCAGTGCCCGTATGATTGCCCCAGCTAAATTTTCTTTCCTTGTAAGACCACAATGCCCACCATTCCAGCTGTGTTGTTGCTCGACTTTAACACTGCTTCTGATTCACTTCATCATTCACGATATGAGAAATCTTGAATTATCATAGCATACGTGGGAAAGAAGTATGCAAAAACCATATCGGCTGCCAAAATTGAGGGAGAACTATTCGAATGGTCCCCAATTAAGTGTGGAGTGTCCCAAAGGGTGCGTTTTCGCAATTACTATTCAACATTGTTATCGAATTTCTATTCCGAGACAGGGCTGACCGTGCCAAAGACGAATATCTCGTTCAGGACATTCGATCCGATTGTAGACATTGTTAATGAGTAGTACGGAAAGCGGGCTTCAACACCTGACGGCTTCCGCATACAACACAGCGATATTGCCTAACGCCCAAGAGTTCAAAGGTATGAGAATTTCGTCATACTCTCAGTGTTGTGAGCCATTTGCAGCTACCTCCAAATTTGGAACATGAGCCTCTTTATAACCTGGTTCATAAACCGGG